CAGGGGTAAACACGGATCCTCTTATCAAACTTCCCTCTGGCTCTCTGTAAAACCCCTTCCACCAGCCTGGATCAGGGCTGGCTCTCACCTTACCTCGAGGCCCCTCTTGCATGCTGGGGCACCAATTGAGAGGAATTTGCAAAGTGAAGCTCTCAGAGATGCAGCTGCCACTGCTAGGGTGTAAATCACAGAATCATTCAGTAGTTTGTGTAGGAAGGGACCTTAAACTCATCCACATTTACTCCCTCCCACCACCCCAGCTTGCCCCCAGCCCCATCCAGCCTGGCCTTGGGCATTTGCAGGGACCCAGGGGCACCCAAGCTTCTCTTGTGGGGTGTGCCAGGGCCTGCCCACCCTCAGAGGGGCAATTTCTAAAGAATCAGAGGTGACCTGTGGCAGAACAAGGTGATTTTTGTGCAGCTGATGCCTCGAGGACTCAGAGGCAGAGTACTTTTCCTTCCCTGTCACTGGCCTCAATGTCTTTCGAGAGCTGATCATAACAGGAATTCCCAAGGCAAAAAATGCTTTAAATGGTTCAAGGTTATTTGATCAGCGAGTTTTCCATTTGTCTCCTCAAGAGCGTGGCCCTCACCAAATAGAACGAGCTGATCTGTTCCCAAATTGGTGTCACTTCTGGTGCCCGGGCACAGAAGTGGCAAAACAACCCTAAAACCTTCAAGAACGCAAAAATTTTAACTCACTCAGCGTGGTTCATGTTGGTGGCATCAAAACTGCTTCTAGACAGTGAGAATTTAATGATTTTACCTTAAATGTTGTGTTTGCTGAGCGAAATTGTGCCCTGTCCCTGTTGCAGGTTGCATGCAGCGCTGCAAGTGCTGCCAGGTCAATATTGAGGAGGGGCTGGGAAAGTCGTGGTGGACCTTGAGGAAAACTTGTTTCCTAATTGTGGAGCACAATTGGTTTGAGACCTTCATCATCTTCATGATCCTCCTGAGCAGTGGGGCTCTGGTGAGTAAAATTTAAAAAAAAAAAATAAAAATTCAAACCCCAGCAGTTCTGAGGGTGTTGGGCTTGGGGATATCTGATTGTGTACAGGAGATTTTGGGAAAAAGCAAATCTTGGAAATTCCTACCTGGAAAACAACACAAGCTTTTATTAGTGTTTTTTGTTTAGTTTAAATTAAGGACAAAGCCTTCAAATCTGGGTTCTGATCCTGGTTTGAGTGGAAATGTGAGGATCTGGAGAAAAGTCAGCCTGTATTTATGGCAAATTTCACAGAATCAGAAAATGCCAGAATCACTGAGCTTGGAAAGCTCTGCAATACCATGAAGTCCAAGCTGTGACTGGAACAAAATCAGTTTTCTATGTTTGATTTATATATATTAATAAAATACGTGTATTTTATCTGTATCTTTATCTATATATCTATATATCTATATATTTATATATCTATATATCTATATGTCTATATATCTATATATCTATGTATCTATCTATATATCTATATCTATCTATTCACATATATTTATATATAGTGTGTATGTATGTGTTTATATATATAATATAATAGAATATAATATATATATTATATATATTTTATATATTATATATCATTATAATATATAATATAGAATATATAATATAGAATATACAATATATAATATACAATATATAATATATAATACACAATATAGTATATATTATATACTATGTATTATATATTATATATTGTATATTATATTATATATTGTATATTATATATTATATATAATATGCTATATAATATATGCTATATGCTATATAATATATAATATATATAATTATATAATAAATATAAAATACATAATATATTTTTAATTTTTTAAATATTTAATTTAAAAACATTTAAAATCTATACATTTAGCTCATCTTTAACTGTACCCTGAACTCAGCTCGGTG